TGAAAATAGAATGAATGACTATTTGAAAAAAATATCTTGGGACGAGAAAAAGGAATGATTGTTTAGTGGGAAGAGTAATTTGTGCTGTAGAGAACCCGGATGTGTGAATCCATTGGAAGAATCCTATAAATTCCTGCTGGCATGGACAAGAATTACATAGAACATAGAATCATGGACCTCTTGAGCCCTATCGAAGTCCCATATACACCTCAGGGTTTGTCATTTTCTATTCCTTTGAATTCGCCAATATGCCAATGGGTCCGTTCCCCCTCCCTTATAAGTTGCACTTTTTCACCAGCTCTGCGTGGGAGTCTGAAGCATGGCTCATCCAGGACCAGGAATCATTCGCATCAAACTTAGCATATCCTATTTCATCACCAAGAGAAGATGCGTTCTGTTACCATACATAGATCTTTGAAAAAACTCGCTTGAAGTGGTACAGAATGAATGGGATTCTCAAGCGGTTCGAAACTTTCCTCGAATAAAAATCCTCAACGTGAACATCCCGCAATTTGCGGAGTCCTCAGAAAATTGAGGAAAAATCATCGCCTTTTCAAAACTCTCCCTAGGTTAAGGAACGGTCACATTCAAAAAACGTTATGGTCGTTCAAAGCACAAAAATTCGCATGTGGCTTTTAAGATCCGAATAGTCGGCGATGCATTAACCTCAAAACAAATTTGAAGGTGCCATCAGATGAAAAGCATCTTCCGCTATGGCGCCTGTTCGATTTGATTCTTCAACATCTCACACTTCAAGCAACGGTCCAAGGAATGAGTGACGTCGAGGAAACGTTTACATCTAACGTCGACATGGAGGAGATTCTAACGAGGTTCGTTTTCTTTCATCTGTATGTAGTGTCTACTTTTTCCCAAGCATTTCTGATACAGGTTACACACACATTGCGACTATGAACGTCTGGAGAGCGATATGGAGCGCATGAAGGAAGAGTTGGATCAGGAACGAGTGCGAGCTATGGAGCTCGACAACCGCATAGCTGACCTCAACGACGGGAGAGACAGCATCTCAAGCAGGTTTGTTTCTCTTGATATTGGCTCAGAATGAGGGAAGCAAAGATGTGTCGTTCAGAATATCCACAATTTCGTCGTCGCCATCGGATCCTTGTCCCTCGTTATCGCCATTACCACCTATCTGCCCACCAGCGACACTCCCACCACCGCCACCACCGCCACTTGTCCTGGGAGCAATCAAGAATAATGAGGTTTGGTTTTTATCGTATCATGTGCCAACATTGAACCAGTCAGTCAAGTTTTCAATCAACCACCGTCTATGCCTGTGAACCCTGCTCTTCGAAGCAATTCTAGTAGTGAGACTTTTTTCAATCAGGGCACGTCCTAAGATAGGAATCTCTATCCAGGGAGATTGGGCTTGCTTTTGAGAAGAATGTTTCTGGTTGGCTCTCCTTGATTTTTCCCTCTCATGTGCGCTACGTGTAGAAATCCTCTCCCCCTTGCTCTACCGTACTTTTCGAAAATAAAAAAAACGGGAAAAAACTGGAGAATTTTTTGAAAAGAAGAAACTTTTTGCGAAGTCAAAAAACCGGAGCAATAAATCACGAAGTGTCGTATTTCACCTAGACATTCCGCAACAAGAGGGCGTGCCCTGATTTCTCTTGCTGTAGGGGACAAGCTAAGGCAACACTATAAATTCTCTTGTCTGTAAATAAATTTCCACGAGTTCCAGACTCAGAAACGCGTGCCGAAGCCATCTGGACCATTGAAGTCGTTCAACTGGATAAAGCTCACAGAGTCCAAAGTCAAAGGGACAGCCTGGGAGTTCATTGAAGATGAGAAGATGTACAAGCAGGTAGGGAACTTACCTAAATCGGTTCTGAACGGCCTGTGGTACTGATAAGTAGAAGAACACAAAAAAAACAAACAGCACGTAATCAATTACTTCGGGAGAGCATTATAGCAGAAGTTTTAATTGAAAGCAGATTACCCTTAAAGGAGCGGTCCGCGATGACCTATGAAAATGCAAGAGGTTATGTGGGAAGGTAGTGCGGTCCGGAGTGGACAACCCTGTGCCAGTTTCGCGGCGGAAAGTTGTACGGTAAAGGGATTAAGGCGCAAAGTTGCTTCAGTGGTACATCCCTTTTTCCAGTGACTCCGCCTCCAGACTCCGCCTCCAAAGCCGGCCT